TACTTCTCTAACAATCAAACTACAGAAATATGATATGGGAAAGGCCTATGTTTCATTAAGATTCACATCTGCCCTGTAATCCACGGGCACGCGTGACAGCGTGGTGCAATCGTTAACCTGTCGATATTATACGCTGTACTACCAGACTTCGAGTCCCGCTGGAGGAGCTGATGAAAACTAGGCGAGGTCGAAGGTGCAGTCCACAACCGATCGGAATAACATTTTGTTAGCAAGGTTATGTGAAATAATAGACCTATTCATATGATTGTGGGAAAATCCAATTACAAGTCCTTCAAATTACCTGTCCTGAAATGGGATGAATATAGCTCTAAAACATGTATTATGCCATTGTAAGCAAATAAATTAATTGTATCCATATTGATTGTATTTTTGGACTAGCAGTTGACCTTTAATTACTGTTCCATAATTTCAATGGAAGGGCTTTGAAAATTCATCCAAGTTTCTTCGCTGCATTAACAAGCGAAACCAACTCAAAACTTTACTTTAGAATAACGCACCATCACCACTAATATTACGCTATCATGAATACAAATATGCAGTTTTAAATGGTTGGTAGATTATTTGATTGGATCGCGATCATCTTTCTCTGAAGGTGATAGCTTGAACTCGTTTCCTATGCAATTGACATCCAGTGTTCTCTTACTAAAAGGCAGGCATAGTCTGACATGTCGGCATAAATGGCACATGAAGTAGGAGTAAGGGATCAAGAAATAGCGCAATAAAGTATAACATGAGCTTGGAAAGGGCGTAGAATTGTCACAACCTTTCATCTTAAAGCTATTCAAAAGGATTGATTTTGCTTGTCACTTTAGCAAGACGTGGGCTATTAGAGGAGCACTGTCCAACAGTGGACAAGGGTGTGGCTCGAAGTGCTCACATCGAAATCTTCCTGAAAATAAGTTTAAAGTGGGAAAACAAGGTCAAGATCATCTGAAAGCCTCGACTATAATTTTTAGCATATCATGGTTAACACGCCACTTCAGGTGACATTAATCACACCATCCACGACGTATTTAAGACAAAAAATAATTTTGCAAATTAATTTTCTTGAATTGGGCATCTGGAAAGCCCCCTTGTCTCCAGGTCTGACTGTAAACTTTATCCCCATTATGGCACAATTATGTAGGTCAATGCCAAGAAAAATATTCTTTTGCAAGTTGAACTGGAAACGAGTCGATTGGGATAAGGCCCAAGCTCGCGGCTGACCTGCTTTTTTATTCTGTTCCACGAAACTGCTTTCTTATTCAAGGAGGTCTGTATTCTCTTTCTCGTTTGGGAATTTTCAACACTTCCGATGAAATGTAAAAAGGTTTGCTGAGTATAACCAGACAAGATGTTGTACCTCGTGCATTAATATCAGATTCAAATATGCCACAGGGTGTAAATGATTTTTAAAACAAGGCATAATTCCTAAAATTTACGCCGTCATCTTAAATATGACGATATATTATAACTTCTTAATGGGATTACACAAAATCGATGTCAACATTAGATTGCCCTGACAAACCTTAGATCTTAAATTTTTAATGCCTACTATAAGGTTAAAGTTGCATTGCTCTATGTTAAGGATAACTAAACTCGACTGGAATTATAAGGCGTTTCTCGTATTTCCTCATGGACTGCCCAATTGCTGTACCTCGTTATGTCTTAACTACTAATTGTGGTTATCGCTAGAAGGAAGAGCTACTAGATATTTATAATACCCTAACGAAGTGACTATCATGCTTCGTAAGCTAAACTCTAATCTGATTTGCGGTTTGAGGCTTGGTTAGAAATGCTGATGATCACATAAAATGTTTCCTAATTTTAAGAAAATAAATCTCTCACAAACCTTTCAAAATATATTATTTTACAGCTATTGATTAATAATTTCTGACGTGGAAAAGATGGAACGTCAATTGTATATGGAAATTAAATTATATTAAATATTATATAAGTTCTTATGGATTATTTGAAAATCACTGGCCAAAAAAGGGCAGTTGTAGCTCAAGTTTGTGAGTAACTAATTGCTGAATTTCGGTCTATGTTTTTTTAGAAGTTATATTTTTGAATACGACTGCACATTTGCCTACCCATAAATGGGAGTTAGCTAAAATGGACAATCTTTGGTGGTCAATTTATGGCCTATAGACCTTTATGCAATATCCTTAACTTACCTGAAAATACCTCATGGATTTAGCTTGGATAGCTTCATTACAGCCAGAGGTTTTACTTTTTTCGATTGTTCATATTATAATAACAGTCCTCAAAATGTGGTTGGTTCGAGCTTGCAATAAAAGCGAGTAAGCCCGAAAAAAATGAAAATTCATACTAAAAGATCTTACTTTTTGCAAATATATCTCCTTTTGCACATTGAGGTCGCAACTGACGCTTATAGGAGAATTATTATACTGAATTAAAAAGGCATTCGTAGCTTTGCCTTCCAAATAGACATCAACCATGAAAAAGGAGGTATCTGTAATTAATAATAGACAAATAAATTAGATGCTTAGACACATCATGCAACTAAACTGATAAAGAAATCATTTTTACACAATAAATAAATAAGCTCTAATTTAAGTGCCAAGTAAACCCAAGATATAAAAATTTCCATCGAATTTTTAAAAAGAGCCTAGTATATAAAAATACCTGCAGATATAATGCTTCAGCTGAGACAAGTATATAATAGTTGTTGAGGGCAGCTGGCCAAAGCAGATGCTTGTAGTTCAAGCATTTGCATAATAAAGAGTCTGTATAACGTCGAGGTTATATGAATAATTGACAAAGTATTGGAAATTAGATCCAATCCTGTTTAGCCTTAGTTTTGCAGCATATGGTGCTTATTGACTGGAGTAAACTGGATTAAGAGAATATGGAGTTACAGACCATTATGCTTTCACAACGAACGACAAACTATAAGCCCAACGATGACAACATCGGAGTCGGGTAGAACCAAAGCGTCGATATATTTCTGGCGCGGAGCCTGGACTACTTTCAAGATGAGTACCTCAAGTCTTTCTTTCATCGACAAGAGAAGCAAAATTAATTGCTATACCAACAACTTAAAATTACTTTTATCATAATCTCAATTTTAAAATTGTCAACAAGCTCCAAGTCTGCAAGGCATGGCAACACTTAAACACAGCCAAATTTAGGATAAGATAGATAAATAGTTTCCTTATCAATACTTACCATAAAAATGTCATTATGGAAATTTCCGTCTAGTAGTAGCAATGAAGGGACACGATTGAGCAAAATTGTACTAAATTAATTTGAATCAACAAAGATCAAACAAATAAACCACTTATAATAAATGTATTTTATTATATTTGCTAGAAGAATACATTTAATCCACTCCAAACTCAAATTTCAATTTGTATCCCATTATTCTTTGTTTCGTTTTGTTTCTATTCATTCTAGAGAATCTCCATGAGTCGTTGCCTTAAGAGATTCTAATATTGTGTTTAATCCAATGCTTAATCAAATATGATAATCTGAAGAGTTTGTCATTTAAATACATATACAAGAGCACACGTAAAACAATTTGTATAAATAGTATTTTTATTGTAATTTACTATCGTCCTAAGTAGCCCTTATTGCATTGAATCAATTATGCAGAGACCCATTCTTCAATGTGGTCGGCCTTAAAGCGGGGTGTGAAATACTACTTTTAAGGCATCATCATGGCGAAAAAGATTTCCATCTAGCGATAGTATATTTATCATAATTTTTTATACTTAAAGTTGTTTAGGCTACGCATAATATTTTAATTATTCATTTGCCTTCCAATCAACCAGATCTCAGCGTATCAAGCATTTTTACATTTCTCAAGGAAAAAAATTATTTGAAGAACTTCATACTTAGAGTATGTACATTTAAATATAAATTAAATTTGTTTAGGAGTGGATTTCTTAATGAATCAACATAATTTTATAAAGGACTTATAAGTGTGATGCCTTATTGAAGAAAAATATTCGATACAAACTATGAAATAATGTACTCCTAAATGCACTAAAAACGCTTTTCCAACACTTGCATTCATTCCATCTTAATTTTTCTGAATACACTTAACTACTATGAGTTTATCTTCTGATTAACTAATTATTTATTGTATGCAAAGTCGGATTCGCATGAAACAAGTGTAGACGAATTCGTGATAGTCGTATATCGGTCACAAGAACACATGTTATGCACCAAAAATAATAGTGAACCTCTTCCTAAAAGGGAAGTAGTGTGTTTTTTTGGTTGTCCGATCAATAGAATTGGTGCATAACGTAATTGTAAAAGAACTTCGTTTTCAAAGCATGCTGTGACGCTGCTGTATATTTTCCTCAAATTTCAACTATTGTTTTCTATTATTGCTCAAAGATGTTTCATGACCTAAGTCTTTTTTTATAAAAATTATAATCGATAGGAGTTAATATAATTATTGCTAATTCTTGCAATTTCTTGTAAATAATGTGTAAACTTGGATATAGCAAATATTCTACTTACTGACCACATTGAAAGAGTGCATCGCAGTTATGTAATTGTCCTCTTCCAATCCATAAATTTCACAATCTATAGTGTATCGGCCGAGTATGGCATTTTTACTGATCTTTAATCCTCTCAAGGTAAAGGCGACTCCACTTTCGCTCGAGCTCTGATTTCCTGGCCATTTGGACAGCTTTACACTCAACCTAATAGAAGATCTCAAAATGGAGGGCATAGAAAGCGATTTGAATTGACAGGACAAAGTAACTAAGGCCCCCTGAGGCAACGTGTCATCTAAGTCACCGATTATCTCCAGGAGAGCGTCTTCTTTGCCTGAAAACGGAACAGGTTGTGCACAAAAATCAAGCATTGGCAGCTTCAAGCGGCAAAAGTGTCTCAGATTGCATTTTTGCACTCTATGAATGCATATATTACATGTAGGTGAAGTCATAAATATTGAGTTTGTGCCTATCTTACAAATTTCTATTTAAGCTTCTTAATGGTATTAGAGTTTAGCCAGTTAAACCCCATTTCAGCGAAGCTCAAAAAAGAGCCTAGGGCAATAATAAACCAAATTCAAGAAGTTTTGCTGAATGCATACAATTCTGGAAGGAATTTTACATTAGGATTGGTTGGTTTTGTTAGTTGAAAATTTCAGACACCTTTATGCTGGGGAGCGATTTTAACTAGGATAAGTAACTAGAACAGATTGCGCGCAGCTGAAATTAAATGTAGTTGGTTGTGTATGAATCCTTCTGCTAATCAATAATTGTTTTATTGCATCAGAGATACTGTGAATGATTATAAAGTTAAAATAATCACGAAAAAATCGATCAATTTTTGTTTTTAAATAGGCTTTAAGTTTACTCTTAGATCTTGTATAATAGCTGTGTTCATCCCATTTCGTGTAATGTGATGAAGAACTGGCAGTTGAACTTTCCTACACTGCTATGAGTATGCCTCCCATTTCCATTGAATTTCACACAGCCTTATTTCTGTAATGTGACTCAAGGGCCCTAGTGAAGTTTAACGTGTCAATATTATAATCTGCTTTACTAAGGTTTGAGTACCGCTGGAGGCGGTTAATGAGACCAAGGCGAAGTGAAAACTGCAGTCCAGTCCATCCTGGATGAAAACACCTTTTGGGAAGCAAGGTTATGAAATATGAGGCTTACTTACATAATTGTGGAAAAATTCAACTTCCGATCCTTCATCACCTTAAACAGAATAAGGTGAAATATACCCCTTATTAAAACTCTAGTGGTAGTCTCTAAAGCGAATAGAAAATATACAACATTTGTCTGCTTCTTACAAAGAATTTAGTTGACACTGTATGTGAAATTTTTCAATTTCTTTGAATAAGTGTTTTTCTTAAGTGTCTGCTTCGTAAACATTCAGCTTCGAACTATCGTGCTCTACCAATTCGCCTACCAGTTAAATTCTAGCCAAATAGAAGTCGTATTTGTGTTTATTTATCCTGAGTAAATTAAGTGAAATGCATAAATGTTGCAAGATTCGTATTCATCCTATTTTTTCTACAAGGTGACGAAAGACTTGTGGTTGAATGTTATTTAATGATAAGAGTGGGCCTTACGTTCCCATTAAATTACACATAGTCTTTTGGGAAACAAAGCTATATGAAATTCATTGAAAGCGTGTATTCCATTAATATGAATTAGGAAAAATTCAACTAGCAGCCCTTTATCATTTCAACTGAAATGGAGTGAATACAGCTCTTATATCAGATTTAATGTAAGTCTGCAGGTCTCCCTCCGGTAGGCGCCGCCACATGAACACAAAACTTTGTAGCAGCACGAATCGGAGGGAGGGTCCGAATATTCCCGAAAAGAGTGCATTGACGAGGAAAAGTTTATTTTCGCCTTATACATCGAACTGATATCCCATTTCCTCATCAATTCGCCTATACTTTTCGAGAGCTGACACGATGGCAAAATTGGAACCATGGTAAACTGATCTCGCCGTTTATCCAGACGCAACTATATGTTTTCCTCCATCCTATTTGACAATATTCTAAAATAGCTGTAAATTAGACCTATTAGATAATTATTGCCAGCCAAAATTCTCGCTACTCCCTATAATTTGTGATCCCAGTGATTGGTGCCTGCAAGACGCAGTCTCTTTATGATCGCCGATTTCATTACCCCTACTTTGGCCCACTAAGTATGGTTTGCAAAGAAATTCAAAGGCAAAACAGCATTTATGATTTTTCTATAGACATCTATAACCAATTTGTTTCCTTCTTTGCTAGATAAGATAAATAGAAAAGGAAGACTAAAATCCTTTTCTAATTACAGGATAAAGTTGGTTTTCCCGTTGATTCTATTCATTAACGTAAGGGATTCTTCTAGGCTTTGTTTGCCGCAGTTCAATTCAAGATATGAAGACCAAGATGTTGTGGCCTCTGGTATTGTCGGAGTCTCCTTTAGATTTATAGAAGTGGGTTGACCTCGTTGTCGAAATTTGGTCTTGTTGTCAGGGCGACTTAGTACAACGCACCCAGTCCGAAGTCGTCTGTCATAGTAGTTGTCATGACTTCCAGCATCAGACAGTCGACTTAGTACATTCTCAAACGTTTCGTCAGCATCGTAGTCGGCATCATCAGTGAATTTTGCTATGCACTGCACCAAGTTACGGACTCGTCAAAAAGACAAGTGAAGTCAATTCCTCGAAAAACGTTCTGCCGAAAACGGTTACACTGTCACTCCTCTTTCTGTCCTGGCCTATCTATACACTCTTTACCCTCTTATCCCACTGCCGCTCTATCACAAATTCTCTCTTGTTTACATTCCACTCGTCAAAATGTGTGCCCTTTTGTGGCGAAACGTTTGATAATGTACCGAGTCCACTGTCTGATGCTGGGAATCATAACAACTACTACGGCAGACGACTTCGGACTAGGTGCGCTCTACTAAGTAGCCCTGACAACAAGACTAAGTTACGACAACGAGGTCAACCCACTTCCTTGCCGTGTTATCAAACTACAAAGTAGCCATTCTTATACCTTAACAATAATTTGTGATCTAGAAGTGCTTTTTGTATTAAGCGACTTTCTCATTTAGCCATGTAATTATTGGCTAAAATTGGGGACAATCGTGATTCCATTATTAAACCTCGTGTCTGCTAGTACAATCTACCATTGAAAATGAAATAAATACACATTATAACACATTTCGTCAAAATGATTATTGACTGTCTTCTTGTTGAATTATCATAAATAATGTTGTCCTGCCATGAAGATGTCCATCACTTGAAGAACGAAGGCTCAGCAAGGATTTATAATGGTCTCCGGACGATGAACTAGAGACTTATTCGTATAATCCCTATTCTGCCGTCACAGCTCCGAGATAATCCTCGTTCGGCTTCGACCAAGGCCAAATTAAAAATCCTTTACAGTTTCTTCTTCGAACCAAATAGAAAGTATTTCAGCTGCAACCTATTAACGGTTTTTCGAAAACCAGATTTTTCAACAAATTCTGTTCAAAGAGTTTGTGCCCAAAAGACTGCAAATTTAAATGATGCAGAAGACACTAGGCGAGACAATTAGGAGGAAATTTTCTAAATGTATCGCCGTCTTGATGCTTATGGACAACATTTAGTACATTTTAGATAAATGATAGTAAAGTATAACATTGAACTTAAGTATTATTCAATATAGAGAACAATTAAGAGATAATCAACATTACCGAACATTTGTAAAGATTCGTTTTTAACTTTTAGAGCTGGCTATGCTCAAATATATTAGGCAAATTCTTGCTAAAGGTAATATTTAGTTTATTGCCCATATAATTTGATCAAATATTGAATACTTTAAAATATTGTGTGCTTACTCAAAACGAGAAAGTCGGTAGAAGCATCAATTACCCCGGAACAATTAACTGTAAAGTGGCCAGATTCAACTACATCACTGAGCTCAAGCCAGATTGCAGTTACTTTTCCAGGTGAACCAACCATGGCTTTTATGTAAGAATAGTCTATTATTGACTCATTTCCAACAGTACTCTGAATGATTTCTGCGGACCTGTTTTGGTAAATGGCTTCCTGTTCCGAGCGAGTATACCAAGACCGAATGCCCGGAAAATTCATTTCATCTGACCTCGGAATCTGAAAATAAGCAAAGTCATTTTAATTAATTCACAATCTTTAATTATATAGACTATTAAGCTAACAATTCCAAAATTAGAAGGCCTTCAGTGAAAAAACCACGTAACCGGCAAGTTAGGCAGAATATCAACATGTCTGCCTGGTGCAGGTTGAGCAATACTCTGCTAACTGACGAAAAATGAAGATAACTGTCTTCATTTGCAGAACCAAGCATCCTAGAGACACTCCTCCAAGTCTCGTAATCAGACTCTCTTGAGAACCACTCAGGCCTCTTCAAATGACAAACGCCTGGTATTGGGTGATCGGGCCATCGGTCTCTTAATACAATTAGCATAAAAAGCAATTTTCATCTTTTCTGGCCGTATCTGTTGGCGCCCAAATAGAAATCAGGCTAATCAGCTTGTCTCTGCTCCAGACCTTTTAAATTGGCAAGAACCTAGAAATAA